ACTTTGCTATGCAGCGAAATATCTTCGCCCGGGCTTGCGTTTCTGGTCTGACTCATTCACATGTGTATGAATGGAAGTTAATTATAACAATTAAATATAACAATTTGTTATATACCAGAAACACAAATCATCTACCAAATCCATCAGTTCTGGTGTACCTCAAGGTTCTGTTTTGGGCCCTCTCCTCTTTATAATTTATATGCTACCAATTGGACAAATAATCAAACGCTATGGGTTTAACTTCCACTGTTACGCAGATGACATTCAAATTTATTTTAGCCCACCTTCCACCTCAGTGTTTCCTCCGCCAGCATTAACAAATTGCATCAAGGAACTCAAGCTTTGGCTGGAGGCAAATTACCTTAAATTTAACTCTGATAAATCCGTAATTCTGATTGGCTCTAAAGCTGTTGTATCTAAGCTCTCTGGCCAACTGATGGATCTCGATGGTGATCTGATTATGCCCTCCATTAAAGTTCGCAATCTTGGTGTTCTCATTGATTCCACTCTTTCATTCAATGATCACATTGGTAAAGTAGTAAAGACAGCTTTTTTCCACCTACGTAATATCTCAGCTCGCTTGATTACCCACACAAGAAAGAGCGATCACATCACCTTCATTGGCTTCCGGTTTCCTTGCGCATAAACTACAAGATACTAATTCTCACTTATAAAGCTCTCCATAACCTCGGTCCTACATATTTATCTGAATTACTCCTGCCTTATGTTCCTGCCCGCTTACGATCTTCTAGTGAGGGATTGTTAGTGACCCCTAAGTTTCGTCTGGTGACTATGGGATCTAGAGCTTTCAGTGTTGTGGCTCCCAGATTGTGGAATGCTCTTCCCCAAAACATCCGTCAAGCCTCCTCCCTTCTCTCCTTCAAAAACCTCTTAAAAACACATTTTTCTCTTGAGTATTTCTCTTCAGTTTTCAGTCTGTAATTTGAACCCTGTTATGGATGTTTACCTACGTTCTCTCTGTATCTCTAATCTAACTTTGTAAGTGGTCTCTGTATATTACTCTCGGCTCTTGGTATGTGTTCTGTCTTCTGGTATTGATGTTAATTTGTTTATGTTCCTTAAACCTGACTTGTAAAGTGACCTTGGGTGTTGGAAAGGCGCTATATAAATTAAAATTATTATTATTAAGTCAATGGAACGAAAAGTCTAGTGTGACCGCGGCTTTACGCTGGAATGCAGTGTTTTCTTTCTCCAAACACAATGCTTCTTATTTGAACCCAAAAAGTTCTATTTTGGTCTCATCCATCCACAAAACATTTCTGCAATAGTTCTCTGGCTTGTCCACATGATCTTTAGCAAACTGCAGATGGCCAGTGATGCTCTTTTTGGAGAGCAGTGGCTTTCTTCTTGCGACTCTGCCATGCACACCATGGTTGCTCAGTGTTCTCCTGATGGTGGACTCATAAACATTAACATCAGCCAATGTGAGAAAGGCCTTTAGTTGCTCAGAAGTTACCCTGGGTTTCTTTGCAACCTCGTGGACTATTACACGTCTTGCTTTTGGAGTGATCTTTGTCGGTCGACCGCTTCTTGGGAGGGTAACGGTGTACAAAGTATGTATTTTTGTCTCATTTGTTTGATTGGATTCTCTTTGTCTGCTTTCAGGACTTGTGTGAAAATCTGATGATCTCTTGGGTCATATTTATGCAGAAATATAGAAAATTCTGTAGGGTTCACAGACTTTCAAGCAGCACTGTAGTATACAGAAATGTTTGATCCCTGTAAGAACTGAGCCACAAACCTTCCAAACACAGATGATGTGCATCTGATGATTCATCTGCAGCTCATCATGATAGTTAATCTGGTTTCCTCCACATGGCTGAATGAGTTTACATTACAATAAGGTCAATAAGTGCATGTTAGCTGGAGTTCTTTAAGGCAAGACAGCACAGCTGAAGAGGAAACATGTTACTGATAGACAGACATCTCCAGACTTCCCCAGCTGATTAATGTTTACATATGCAAATGAGATATTATCTCATTTAATATACACTCATTTGCATATATTTCCCGAACATAAATCTGAACACTGGATAAAGCCAGGTTCATAATTCCTGTTTGATTTTGTTGACACATTAAAGGTTTTTCCAGAGGGGATTTCTCTTTTTATCACTCCATAAACCAGAAAATACTGTCAACAGATAGAAAACAAACACATTTTCACCATGTTTTCAGGAATAAAATGTACAAATCAGTGTGAATGAAATACGAACACGCTTCTCAGTAAAAGCCTTCAGAATATAGAGAGGAAAAGTTTGCCGTGCGTAAGTGTTTCCGAATTGGAGAAACAAACTCACCGCCTTTAAAGATATGGATTGAAACTGAACTCTACAGATGCAAATAGATGAAAATAGTTTGTTAGTGATGCAAGACAACAACAGAGAGTCATTTTCCAGCTAAAGTCAGTTCATTGATGATTCAGTGATACAATTCAGCTCTCGTCCAATAGTGTCTGTGCAATCAGTCAAATGTCCCCAACTAAGCAAGACAAATCATGTAAACGCTTGCAATCGTGTGTTTCAGATGTTTTCTTTCCACTTGCAAAATAGACCAAAAAACATGCTTTTGCCTGTTCTGTCTTGCCTTAATATTGACAGATACAACTTTTGAATGTAACAGTTAGGATGCTTCATAAGTATTTTGCATGGTTAGTTCATGTCGAGAGGCAGGGCCTCGCGATGAAGTGTTATAGAGGAGCAGCGTGTCGTGCTCACTCGCTCTTTGCTCTTTGCAGCGGCGACGTTCCTCGGCGGAGCGCTGCTGGTGTGTGTGTCCATCTACCTGTACGGACTGCCCAAACAAGACACCAGCAGAGTGCAGAAGCCCAGCACAGATGGAGAGGACACACAGAAACTCATCGCAGTCTGACGCGACGCATCTGCTGCTGGACATGAACGGACTACACTACAGCAGGAGCGAGGACCGGTGTTTGGAGTGAAGGAGGGTGGCAGTGGGCTGTGGGAAGGACTGGAACACTTTGGTTTTATGTTGTTTTTCTCTCTCTGTATAATTTCATTTATAGGTCTTGATGCAGATACACTGATGCCACAACACTACACTGAATGTACTAGGGCTGTCAAAAAAAAAAAATCTAATTTCGAATATTTGTCAAATTTAAAATAAAAATCCACATTCGATTTGAATTTTAGGAAAAGAGAACATCAATGCGGAGAAGATCATGTTTACGTCAAAACTGAAACCAAGCCGTTCACACAGAACACATATCAATCACATTTTCTAGAGGGACATCTATCACTGTTGCACTCGCGTCTCGCACAAGAGAGCCACATGTTTTAGAAAGCCATGTAAAATTAATGCAAGTTTAACTTTGAAAAAAAAACATATATTGAGACTTTATGGCAGGGTTTTTCTCCATCCCACTGCAACTCGTGTTTTTAAATGAAAAATGTACTCCGTGTGATTGGCTTTCCTCCCTTTGTATTAAACTATGCATACACACATGATGCTGTTTTGTTTATAGTTGTTTAAGCAACTTAATTATAATTGGTTTATAAAAATTATGCACTTTTTTCACAGATAGTCTGTTTTCTTATGTTTTGAGTACGTGCATTAGTAATATTTTGCTCGATGCGCCCTCTTGTGGCCTCAGGAGAGAAGCCAAAAGCTATTCTTCACTCTAAATGAAATTATGCATTTTAAATTAGAATATAATTCGAATTTTGATCATATTTAAGTACAAAATTCGAATGTAGTTTTTTGACAGCCCTAGAATGTACATGTGCACTTCAGACAGGTTTGGGTTTAGATCGCCAATGTTGTTTGTTCAAGCGTTCTTAAATATTGACACAAGCTGAACGCAACGGCCTTATGCGTTTGGATAGCCGACTCGTTTTAATTACAGAGCAAATGTTGAATCCTGTGTTTAGGGGACGCCTCTTGATCCGGGACAGGCTCTGTATGGATTTATGAGGCAGAGTTTAAACGTGACACGGACACACTGCTAGTCCTGGACTACAGCGGGTCTGTTTACATGAATCAGTCCCAATCAATCCAAATCCTCTTCATATATAAAAACATATCCGTTTACATGTGCATTACATTTATTCCACACAAAACTTTATTTGATGCATTTAGAAATGGAGAAAGACCGGAGCTGCTGACAGCAGACTTGATGCCACATTTCAAAATCCAAAAATGTCAAAAACTTCAAATATGTAGAAAATATTCAGGTTACATCTTGTCCACGGACTGGTTCATAATATGTGACCCTGGAGCACAAAACCATCATAAGGATCAATTTTTCAAATCTGAAAGCTGAATAAATCATCTTTCCATTGATGTATGGTTTGTTAGGATAGGACAATATTTGGCTGAGATACAACTATTTGAAAATCTGGAATCTGAGGGTGCCTGATGGTGGCGCTGTGTTTGCTCCGCTGTGAGCGTGTGGAGCTGATCTCTGAGCTGCTGGATCTCGGAGCGCAGGCTGTTTCTGTCCATGGCACACAGCGCTCCCATCAACTCCCTTTGCCGCGCGTCCTGAACACAACACACCCTTACAATCTGTGTTTACATTAATATCTAACACAGTGTTTCCCAATGACAGGCTGTCGGGTGAGCCGTGAAAAATGATCAAAAACTTCCTTATCTCTATTATATGTGACCCTGGAGCACAAAACCACCATAAGGATCAATTTTTCAAATCTGAAAGCTGAATAAATCATCTTTCCATTGATGAATGGTTTGTTAGGATAGGACAATATTTGGCTGAGATACAACTATTTGAAAATCTGGAATCTGAGGGTGCAAAAAAATCTAAATATTGAGAAAATCATCTTTAAAGTTGTCCAAATGAAGTTCTTAGCAATGCATATTACTAATCAAAAATTACATTTTGATATATTTACGGTAGGAAATTTACAAAATATCTTCATGGAACATCATCTTTACTTAATATCCTAATGATTTTTGGCATAAAAGAAAAATGTATAATTTTGACCCATACAATGTATTGTTGG